AATGGAATTAAATTAAGGAAGCATACACAGTTAATTTGTTTCAGTTGCATGCCCAGAAAAGAGTAGAAAACATGGTAGATAAAAGATGGTGCAGTAAAGGTGGATGAGATCAGAGCACGTTTGAATGCTATTGGGAAGAGTACACGGAAATGGAAAATGATCAAAGCTCAATAGAGAAGATGAACAAGAATGTAAACCAAGTTGCATCACTCTTCTGATTAGCTATTTCAAGTTCTTCAACCTGCTCTATGAAAGCCTCCTCAAAAATCCCTGTTAGTCTCTGACCTCCTCTTATGGAACTCTTCCCTTTCTTTTTCTTCCTGGACACACACGAAGAATTCTTCCAGGAATTTCAGCTTTAGAACTTGTGCACAAACTCTATCCTCTTTCAGAACTTCTCTTCCTCCTGTTATTTGCTGGCTGACCCTTTTCTGTCCTTCAAATCTCAAGTGAAATAGCCTTCCCGACCATCTACTGGATCTAAAACCATTGGCAAATATTCACATTTGATATCTTGTCATCATTCAGGCCTCAGTTTTAGTATCTTCAGTAAATCTTTTCCTGATCAGTAAATTCATAAGCTTCTCTTTGTGTCCTTAACCAATCACCTTGTTAATTCTTAGCATAGCACTTCTTATCACAAAATTTTTTTGTTTGTATAATTGTTTATAGGTTTATGGACTATCATCTCCTTCTAGAATGTAGACTTGATGAAAGGAGTAATCTCATCTTACTTGCTTCATGCCATATCCCCAGAATGTGACATAGTACTTGGCATATAGTAGGTGTTCAATAAAATTTTGTTTATTGATCAAATGCTAAATTTAATTTTTGTGTCAGTCTTCTTAGAACATACCTAGAAATTAAAAGGCACATTATTATAGATTTTCATCACATTTATACAGGTAATTGTGATGATTAAGATTATTATTTTGAAAATATCCTAGAGGATTTACTTTTAATACATAGTCATAATGATTATATAGCTCATAATAATATTGACTCTAACTTTCATCTCTCAGCTATATACTACCAAATAGCAAGAGGAGTTTGTCCAGAAATACCTTACTATTAGGAAGTAGCCAGTGTAGTATAAAAAATTCACTATGAGCCGAGCTTGGTGGCTCAGCCTGTAATCCCGCGCCTTTGGGAGGCTGAGGTGAGTGTATTGCCTGAGCCCGCGGTTCAAGACCCGCTTGGGCAGCAAGACCTCATCTCTACAATAAATAAAAAAAAATCAGCTGGGCGTGGTAGCGCATGCCTGTAATTCTGGCTACTTGGAAGGCTGAGGCGGAAGGATCTCCGGAGCCCAGCAGGTCGAGGCTGCGGTGGCCGGGAGCAGCGACTGCACTCCAGTCTGGGCAACAGAGTGAGACTCCAACTCAAAAAAAAAAAAAAAATTCACTATGAATAGTCTATTTCATATGTAAAAATATGTATAAATTTAAGAGTATACTTACATTCAGCAATCATTTATTAAACTATGCACTTTCCTAGCCTCGTGGTGTCAAAAAGTGAATAAAATACAGTAGACTGATGTCCAGGAACTCGAAGATGGAGTGAATAAAGATACAAAAGTTAACAATATTGTGTTCTAAAAAGGCTATATTAGAGTGTGAAAATAATTATGATGGGTCAGTTTGTTTTAAAACCTCAGGGTCATGCAATCTCACTTATCTGAATTTAGACACCTTCCAAATGCTTTCTTTCATCCTGGGGTAAACCATTAATATGAAGTTCAATTTCCCTGGTATATAACACCTTTCCCAAATCAAGTGAAAACCTTTTTCACAAAGAAGGGAGAGACAGTGTTTCAGTGGAGCAATTAAGCTTTGACTGTATCAAGAGGAAGTTGTCACAAGAAAAGAAGCACAGCAAAAAAAAAATGGTTGTGCAGTGTCAGCTTACTATTTCTGGAAGTGTCTACAGTTTAGAAAATCGCTCCTCCTGAATTGTAAGTCGTCTATAAAACTGAGTAACTACGAAAGCATGAAAAAGGAATACTGAAAAATAGTACAAAAAATAAATAGCAATAGAAACTATGGTGAACTGAGGATGACCTTTAGAAAAAGAGGGTAGATTTTGCATCTCTAAGAACGTCTCATCACAGTTTTCTCTGAAAGATTAAAATGATTTAAATATTTTCCCATTTACTTAATGTGAACAGGTATGACTTTAAAACAAAACTCACATTTCCTACTTAAGTGCTATTATGCAGAGACAGAACATGAAGTTTATATTGGTTGCTCAAAGTTGTTCTTAAAAACAACAACAAAATAGAAGCTGAATATAAAAATTAGAAATGTTTGCCTGCCAGATAGTTTTTATTCCCTAACATTTCTTTGGGCTTATAGTCTTTCTCAAAGGATTGGAAAGCACTGTTATAAGTATGCCTTAGTCAAACATTAATGAGGAAGCAAAACATTTGCCTTTTGAAAACGATAGTATCCATTTAGATGTACATTTATCAGCTGTTCAATAGAAAGAATGAGACAAAAGCAGATGGAGAAAACTTTCTGAACCCAGAACTTTCTTGATGAGAAAGTAGTATTCCTATATGTTTTATCTCTCATCTAGTTAATACAATGGAATACAACTACTTTACTAATTAGTATAAAACTTAGCACACAAAGTATTTGTTTCAAAACTATTTTTAAATCCTTAAGAGAACATATCTTAAAGATAATAAGTAAAAGCAGTTTAAATGCAAATTCACAAACATTAAACTAGAGAAAAATATTCCTGAATTTCTCAAAGAAAACTTGAGTCATTAGTGCAATATTAATAATTTTTTTGTCCATATTTTGTAAAAACAAGTAAGTGACACTGACATGTTAATATATATCCTATGGTATGCTGTGGCTATATTTTGTTCAGTCAGTACACATCTTCTAGAAAGCAAGAGGCTATTTTTAAAAAATATGTTATTTGAAAGTATTTCATACCTGAAACAAATGCTGTTTTCCAGAAATTTCCATAAAGAAAATTTAAATTCTGCCTTATCTGATATTAGCAGGTAGACTTCGCATACTATCAATCTATTCTAACACTTGCAAGTAACAATGTTAAACCTTTGTTCCATCTATACTGTACTGCAAAGACCTAGTTCTTTTCCACTATTTTTGAGGAGGGACCAAAACAACAACAAAAAAACCCCAAAACCCACAATTACCTTTTGGAGGAAGGGGCCCTTTGCAGTACAGGTTTTCCCAGGTAAGTAAGTGTTCTGGGAACTCATCAGCATCAGTGAGTGTATCAGCTGGTATTGTGAAAGGCTGCGTTGGGCTTCAGTGATTTTTTTTGGAGATTCTTTCAATGCATTTGCACATTTCATGATGAATGATATATGCAAACAACCTGCCCACACCTTGTTCAGCAGTTTTTGACCAAAAGTGGCATGATCTCCTATCGCACCTTCCCTTTTCACCTGATCTGGCCCTTAGTAGTTTTTTTGGTTTGTTTTCCCGGATGAAAAAATCCTCAAGGGGGAAAATGTTTTGCTGATGTGGAAGAGGTGAAACAAAAAACCACAGAATCCTTTTCTCCGCATCTTTGCCGGCATCTGTTGTTTTTTGTTTTATGAATAAAGCCATTCTTACTGGAGTTATAAGGATGCATGATCCCAATCCAGGCGAAGTGAGATCCAGTGGGAGGCCCAAACTTCACCTCTATGTAGACCACTTATGTACCCAATTCTGACTTGCAGCCCACATCTTTAAAATAAACAAGAAATAAAATAAAAAATAAAGATAAAGGCAAAACTTAAAAATTTTTAAAAACTACAAAAAACCCAGCAGAAGTGCTAAGGAATCAAATTGATGAGATCAAAACCTGTTTTGAACAGTAGAAAAAACATACGAAAGGTGCATTACATCAAACGAAGAGTCCTTTAAGGTGACTGAAGTTTAAACATGTAAAATACACAGTTTTTCATAAATAAATTTCAAGATTTTTTTGGAGGTCTCCCTGCATACATTGGAAAGTAGTGGGTCATTTATAGATGCCTCTGAATTCATTGTGCTGCATTTTGAAGTTTAAAAAAAAATTGGTAAGACCACTCTACTTTAGTATGACTGGCTAGTTATAGCATATTTTACAATTTTGAACCTCCACAATGCAATATACTTTCAAGTTATTGCTTAAGTTGACTCAGGCCTCAGGTTTTAAGGTCACATTGTTAATTTTCCCACATTTATGATTTCAGCGTATTTTATATTTAATCTCTTGTGAGAAACAATTTGTCCTTATCTTGATCTATGTTTGTGCTAGGCTGTAAACTCAGGTGGTGATCCTGTGGACTCAACAGGGACATTAAAGCGACTACAGAAACTGGTTTGTACCAAGAAAGCCAGGATGCAGAGTCTGGATGAGATAAAACCAACATTAGTAAATCTCCGTAAGTAGTAGCTCAATAAGCTTTTTAAAATTTTTTAGAAGTAGAACTGAGGAAGCATATATTAATGAAGCCCATTTTTATAAAGTCTTAAAGTAATCATTAAACATTGAGAGCTTTTAAAAAAATTATTGCCAGCCGGGTTCGGTGGCTCAGTCTGTAATCCCGTGCCTTTGGGAGGCTGAGGTGAGTGGATTGCCTGAGCCTGCGGGTTCGAGACCCACCTGGACAGCGAGACCTCATGTCTACAATAAATCAAAAAGTCAGCGGAGCGTGGTAGCACTTGCCTGTAATTCCAGCTACTTGGAAGGCTGAGGCGGAAGGATCGCTGGAGCCCAGCAGGTCGAAGATGCGGTGGCCGGGAGCAACCAAACCACTGCACTCCAGTCTGGGTGACAGAGTGAGACTCCAACTCAAAAAAAAAAAAAAAAAAAATTATTGCCAAGTTTTGAAACAGATATCCCCATCCTACTCCTGAATTTCACCCCATACCTATGCCCCATCCTGTTTCTCCATCCCTTCAGCAACAGGCTCAGGGATAGAGCGAGAGAGAGTCATAAATGAAGCTCAGCAAAAGAACAAGGGTTTTCAATGCCTGGTGTTCCCATGCTTGGCCATAAAAACAATATTTTTGAATTTTGATGTAAGTATAACAAATGGGTATGTCCCTGACATAAAATTTTGATTTGCATCTATTTGTTTATAATAGCATTTTTAATTAATCATAATGTTTTTATACCCATAAAACATTTGGATTCAAAGAGATTAAATCATAAAGAGCAATTGACTATGTGTGATACATATTTCTATTTTCTGTAACTGTTTTATGTATTACCAGAAATTTCATCAGTCCTTTTGCCATATTGAGTATATATAGATCTCACTAATCAACTTTATAGTACTAAAGATATGCCTTTTTCATTTGTTTTTGCAGTCTTTTTCTTGCTTTTCCAAACTCACTATGAGACATATTGCATGCATAATGCTTTACAAATTGATATTTAAACAGATAATTTCAGAATGTCAGTAGGATTTCAGACCATATACATTGAGATTTCCTTTTTTTTAAACAAGGCAAAGAATTTCACTTGCTTCCTTTTGATATTCTCTTGTACACATGATGTCAAAACAGATTAAAAATGTTTAAAAATAGAAGCACTCCATCTTATAAGATGTGGGGTTTTTTTTAAGTTTTCATTTTTTCTTTTTTCTTTTTTTTTTGAGTTGAAATCTCACTCTGTCGCCCAGGCTGGAGTGCGGTGGCATGTTCACAGCCACCCCAGCATCGAACTGGGCTCTGGCGATCCTTCCGCCTCAGCGCTACCTCGCCTGGCTATTTTTCATTTTATTGTAGAGGCAAGATCGCGCCAAGTTGCCCAGCCTGGTCTCGAACCCGCCGGCTCAGACAATCCACTCGCCTCGGCCTCCCAAAGTACTGGGATTACAGGCTGAGCCACCAAATCCGGCCAGTTTTTATTTTTTCTCAACTATCTTTCAGTATGCTATTTTCATGTGGCTTCCATTCCTTCCAGTCTAACTGACTTTCATCAATAAACGTGGCTTCAAAAAATTGTACATAAATGGATTTTTGCCAAACAAAACAAAAAATTAATTTATAAAGAAATACCATTGTAAATTATTCCTGTGAAATTGAATGACTTCTTGGTTTATTTATTTCCATTATATTAAGGAAAGCATAATGTTCATCATTTTTCCATGTGAAAAACTTCTTCTTAGTTTTTTAACTGTTTTTGTCTTTCAGAAGATGAAGATGACACATTGATTTCCTGCTTGAAATTAACCAAATCCCAAGAAAAAAAAGTTAGTAATGATAGTACAAGGAGGAAGGAAGAAATGAAGATTAGATTTGAGTCTCTTTCTGCATCACTGAGTAGATCCAGCACTTTAAATGAATGCAACTTGGAAGATATGTCTGTCCAATACGAAGGAGAAGTTCACATGTGGCACAGCTGGAAGCCTTATCCAGAAAATCCACTTTGGACATGTGTTGATTTCCAAATGGCCCAAGTTGGACCTTGGGACTATTGCTCTTGTATTCACCATCCACCTCTCAAGTCTTCTTGCTCAGATATGGATCTCCCACATTCATGGGTAAGTTTGTAAAATACAGAAATGTATCATCTTATCTGGGGGTTTGTACTGGCAGAAATGAAATAGATATCTAAGGCACTTCTCAGTCAAATTTATCAGTGTCAGGAGAATTACCAGAGCTGGAGTTGTATTTCCAAAAAGTGATCCCACTTTTCTGACTTTTGTCTATTTTAATATTGCATATATTTATTTGTGTACCAATTAACTACTATATAATATTTTCCAGATGTTTCTTATTAATTGAAGGAAGACTTTGGATTCTGATTGAGATCAAGAAAATGTTCATTGCCTTGTCTAAATTATTGTGATTGTAATGAAGTTTCACTGACAAATAATAATTAATTTTAATGAGCATTTTCTTTGAGCCCACCATTCACCTATGCACTGGCATGTGTTATCTCATTTAAATCTCAAAACAATCCTATAAGGTAAAAATGTTATTTTAATATTATTCCCTCCTATTTTACAATTAAGAAAACTGAGGTACAATACAGTTAGTAGTAGATGTAAGGTCAGAGAGCTGACAAGAAGTAGAGCCAAGATCAAGAACCTAGATAGTCTTAAGCTAGAGAGTCTGCTTTTAGCTAATATATTATAGTGTTTTCCATATGCTAAGTTAGACTCTGAGTCCATATAGCAGAAAACGAAGTGCACTCTGGAGTTAAACAGATTTGGATTTGAATCCTGACTGTACTACTTTTTTAGTCTGGACAAATCATTTTAAACCATTCAATCTTAATTTTCTTAATTATACAATGGCAATAGTCATATTAAACTCATGAAGTGTCTGAGAAACTAAAGTTAAATATCTGAAATCTCCTAGGGCTTGAGGGTGTCAACCCTTTTTCAACTTGATTGTAAGTTTCTTAAGGCACGTATCACAGCTTTATTTCCCTACAGTTCATGGTCATTTGTGTTTATAATGAATGAATGGAAGAATTTTGTGTATCCAGAAAGTCATTTTTTGCTGGTCAGTCTCTCATTAAACAGAGGCTATATTTCATGACATATTAGGGATCTTTGAAGAGGTTCACTCTCTCTTGGAGTCCTTTTTACCTTCTAAGATTTGTGTATTAAGTCTCTGAAGACCAGACCTAAAATAACTTGTGTTCTGTACCATGGTGTATATAACAGGTGTCTGGCAACAGGCTTGGAACTGATGAAACTTGCCAACGTTAATCCTTTCTAGTAATATCTCTCATGCTTCTTTAGTTCTCATATTCTCTTCGGAGATTGCTGCACTTCGCCAGCTTTTGCATGGAGCAACTCTTAGAGAGTAGATTGTAATATAATTAGGACTTGCTTCTGAAGACTCCCTTGGACAACTCGAGAAGGAGGGTGAAGGACCATGACTCCTTGGCAAGTGGCTAAGCCTAGTGTATAGGAATCTAAACACAAATATTCAGAGTTTCCTTCAAGAATAAAACCTGGACTCTGTAACTTGGCATTTCTGTATATCAGCAGTCTGGCCTCAATCTAATTTTTCAGCCTTAAATACTTATAGTCTTTCCTTATTAATTTCCTATGCTACACTGCCAAACAGAATGATTTGCTATTCCTAAAGGCTGTCGTGCACTTTCCTGCCTCTGTGTCTCTGTGTTTGTGTGATGGCCTCTGTCTGGTATGTTATTCTCTTTTTAGAACTATCTCCCTCACATCTTAGACTCAGATCAAGTACTTCATCCTCGAGAAAGCTTTCCTGGATCATGTCAGACAGGAGTAATCTCTCCTTCCTTTGATCGTTTACATTGTTTAAGAGCATTATTCTTTGTATATTCATCAAACACATATTGGCATTTACTGTTTGCCATTCACAATATTAGGCACCAGGGATACTGAATTAAACAATGTAAGCACTGCTCTTGTCCTCATGGAGCTAAGTTGGGTATTCTATAAATAATTTACCTTGATATCTGCCATAGTTCCCAGAATGCAATGAGCCCTCAATAAGTATCTGAGTAGCATTTTCTGCCTAAATGAAAGTAGTTTAAAAACCAATGAGCTATGTTTCCATAGATCTAGATGAAATATTTCTTCTTGTTTTCTGTTCTTATAGTCAAACTTTTCTTATTCTAATAAATACAGTTATGCATAAATTCAGTTATTGTGTATATGTATTTGTGGATATGTGTAGATTTAGGTAAACACATAATGGTCATATTTTTCGTTTTTGTTTAGATAGTTTTGCCTATTTTAATATGTAACTAAATGATTAAGTGAGTTTTATCTGCAGAAGGTCAAACATATCTGCAAAATGCTTAGAATTTCAGATGATAATGTTCAGCATTTGTGACAGAAAAACCTCAGTGGAATTAGAGAGAAGGTTCAAGAGGATGTTAGAGTTAAATTGGTTTGGTAAACTTAATGAGACCACTTACACTCGGGGATTTGAGAACTAGAATGAAAGAAACTGGATGAGTGCAAATTATTATTTTTATATTCTACACTACATTCTACAATAATGAGTGAAAAATATCTGGTCCCATTTTAACATAACTGGCATTTCTTTCTGTAGAAATTGCCGGTTTATTATTTAGATTATTTAACTTTCATATTATAGAAGGTACAGAAGGAGATAGTATGGTAGGGGGCGTGTGGGGGGGGGGACGGTGTGCTTCTGAAATGAGTGCTACATACTATTAATGACTAGTACCCAGAGGTGAAATTTTTGCAATTTTAAAGGGCAAGAGTGTGATCAGATTTCTTAAAAATGTGCCAACATATGCAGATATAGCAAAGCTGAGCCTAAGCCCCACATTTCATTAAAAAGGAGTCCAATAGACAGGGCACTAGTTTCTCCTTGACTTCAGAAATTTCAGGAATAGTAGACGGCAGGGTCTCTGATCTCGTTAATAAATAAGAGTTTTGAGGTGGCCTGAAACTGATTTCTAGAAAGTTCTTATTCACCCAAGTATGTTCCCTGCTAAGCCCACTGCAGGCTCACATTCTCCAGGCTGGTTCTGTTTGATTAACCCAGCTCTGACATTACCACCAGAGTGACCTCGAGTAAACTCCTTACCCTCATTAACTTGCAAAATTCCAATTCTGCATAACAGTTTCAGATACTCCTTTTCCTCAGTGACTCTGTATACCAAAAACACCCATGAGTAAAATAAGGTTATTAACAGCTACCATGCAGGGCTATTGGAAATATGAAATGAAGTGGTGTCAGGACTCAGTCTAAAGTAGGTATTTTTTGTACCAAAATCAAAGAACCCAGAACCCTGTGTTAAGATCAGAACATTTTATTCAGTTGAAATAGCATAAACAAACCGAATTAGACAAGGAAATAAGTTATTCGTGAAGGACTCTTCACAGAAATCAACAGGAGAATCAGACACACGAAATGTTTAAAGTGCAGTTAAGTTGTTTGTAATGCCTATGGGATCTGGGGAGTGAGGAAATATATGTGATTATGGAATTGATATAAACTAAGAGAAAAGATCAGGTTTTTGAAAGCCTGTGTACCACAAGAACAATGTGAAAAGGTAAAACTAAGGATGTGGTTATTTTCTAACATCTGAGATGAGTGGTGTTGAGAGGGGATTTCAGATGTGTCTTAAGAGGTAACCAAAATAATATTTGAAGCCAAGTGTTTAGAAGCAATTTACAAGAAGAATGGCTGAAGGGTACTTATGAGACTCTGCATGTGAAGAGCATAAAACTCTTGACAAAAAGAGGAAAGTAAGTCATAGGTTTGATAGGAATAAGGGTAAGAAAGAACAGTTTGTTTGTACTGAAGGAGATGAAACCTTCTTTAATATAAAGTTCTTACAATAGCAAACATAGTTTTCAAAATCTGGGGTACATAGGAAGAAACAATTTTTTTATAATCTTAAAAGATGGAATTATGAAAAAGGGAGTAAATATCTACTCCTCCCCTCAAATGTCTAAAATATACTGAAATCTGTCTTATGAAAGTGGTGTGGTGTATTTAAAAAGTGACAGTAACAAAACTCTTTCAGGAAGAAACAAAGTCAAAGACCCCAAAGAGCAAAACAGAAACTTAAGTATAGAAGAATCCAAACATAGTACAGAAAGAAAAATGATAATAGTGAGAGACAGAATTACAGAGTAAAAATCAATGAAAAATGAATGAAGTTTATATACAGCATCTTGAGATGAGAACATGTACAAAGCTCTACTTAAAGGCATGTAAGAAGAAGGGGATGAGAAAGTTTTTTTCATGAACTCATCAAAATGATGACCCAAAACTACAGATAATGGAAAAATTATTTATACAGCTGTTTCAGTGGGAAGAGTACAGGGTGTGTGCTAATGCTAACAAAAATAAAAGAACAAAACTCTGTAATCCAGCACTTTGGAAGACTGAGGTGAGTGGATTGCCTGTGCCCATGAGTTCGAAAGCAGCCTGGGCAACTTGGCAAGACCTTGTCTCTACAGTAAATAAAAAATTAGCCGGGAATGGTAGCACACACCTGTTATTCCAGCTCCTTGGAAGGTTGAGGCAGAAGATTAGCTGGAGTACAGCAGGTTGACACTGGGGTGACTGTGAGCATGTCACCGCACTCCAACCTGGGCGACGAAGTGAGACTCCAACTCAAAAAAAAAAAAAAAGCAAAACATTTTGCAATTAATCTTTCAACTCAAATGTGAAACAATTAATGTTCATTATTGACATGGAAAAGTACTCTTGAAATACACAGCTCTAATACTAAGTATATAAATATTTTAATACTTCCCAAGAAAACTTAAGGTCTATAGGAGAAAGGTGGTGAAATCAGGATAAGCTGTTTGTGTCTGTCTTTAGTGTTATCTTTCTGTTCTCTCCCTTGGCTATCTCTCCCATTCTCTCTGACCCTGGTCTTCCCCCTTCAATCAACATGACACACCATTACCAGATTAATCTGCCAGATTAATTTTCTTGACTATTCTTACTGATTGATGCCACCTGATTGATGATGCTGAAGCTCAAATCTAATAATGTCACTGCTCCCCTCACAAACCCCTGATGCCTTCCCAACACCCACAGGGTCAAA